GCTGATTCTGCAATATCCCTCAGAGGCCGCGCATTCCCACAAAACATGACAATAAAAACCTAAGTTCCACTCGTTAGTTTAATACAAGCAAAACGCAATTTCCTGATGCGGATAACATGTGGTGTTGCTCATGCTTCAAAGTCCGAATAGAAGGACATAGGCTATAAATGAAGAACAACGAATATAGATGTGAAAACAAATATGAAAAATTATGGAAACGCAAATTAATCAAAATCGTGTGTAAATTTTTAAGATCCGGCGAGAATTTGGCTCTTAAACCATAGGAAATACTTGAAACCAACCATGCATACGAACACCATACATGAAATTGCGTTTTGCTTGTATCAAACTAACGAGTATTAAGTATTCATTAACGGCCCCGTTCTCTGACCCCGTGCAGTTTCGGGCGGGAAACCACGACACATCGACAGCTGGGGGGCTGATAGTCTCATACACCCTCAATGTGTTTGAGCGTACCATGTGTCTTTAAGTCGCCCAGGACTAGGATGACGATCTGTACTTTCAACGCACGGACGCTTGCATCGGAAGCTCACATCGAAGATCTGATGTTGCAAGCCAGGAAGATCAAGTACGACGTCATCGGACTGACCGAGACGAGGAGGCATCGCCCGCTACACGCCGTATACGAGACTGGAGAAGAACTGTTCCTCGGAACATGCGACAGCAGAGGCGTTGGCGGTGTGGGCGTCCTCGTCAACACGCACTTGGCCATGAACATCGATTCGTACGAAAATCTGACGACCCGAATCGGACGTTTGCGATTGAGAAGATGTGGTTCAACTCCAGCTTTGACAATCTTCGTCGCCTACGCACCAACATCAAGCTACGACGAGGATGAGCTCGAAGCGTTCTATATGGAATTGGAGAAGTTCTACAAGGAAGATCATACCTTCTTCAAGGTCATCGTCGGTGATTTCAACGCTAAGATCGGACCAAGAAGAACGGCTGAAGAACTTCACATCGGAACTCACGGAACGGAGTGGAATGAGCAGGGTGAAAGGCTGTCTGAGTTTATCATGTCGACCCATACCATCCATGGTAACTCGCAGTTCCAGAAGCCCTACTCTCTACGCTGGACATGGGAGTCTCCTGGTGGACAATTCCATAATGATCGACCACATCATCTTCAATCGAAGGTTTTGCCTGACCGATGTCGCTGTTGTTCCTAAGTTCTACACGGATCCGACCACCGTCTCCTTCGCGCAAGATTCCGCTTTTCGATGCGAGAGAGAGCCGCAAAGTTCAAGAAGCGAAGCCCCAAGACCGTCATCAACTGGGATCACTTCACTTCTCTCGCTGGGCTCTGTCAAGCGAACACCGCCTATGCGATGGTCAGACTTCTTCGTGAAAGCTCTGAACGAATGGTATGAAGTTCATCGTGTCCCTCGAGCAGAGAGAGTCCATTGGGCAACTCTTGCACGTTGCAGGGACGAATGGAGACGTTACTGGCGCCCGCTCGAGGAACTCGATGATCAACGGGAGCACAGGTGATACAGGTGATACCACATTTGACTTATAGACTCACACCTCATTCGATGCGCTTTACCTAAAGCCAAATATCCTGGTGGATTTATCGCATGATGCTGAACGTTTTTCCTGGTTTCCGAATTTGATTTGATGAACACTGGGCAGGAGTTTTCATTATTTTTGTGTGGTCAACTGAGAACCTTCTTCGTGTGATAGTTTAGCCCGCAAACATAATAAGTGTAGAATTCGTTATCAACAAAGAGGGTTTTCTGAGAGCGTGTTTCTTTCTGTAGTTGAATAGTCCTTGGAACAAGAACGCATAGGAGGTGACTGAAGAGGTCATTCCTTCGATGGTTCCACACACAGGACAAGCTGCTTGCACTGCCAAAACGAATGCGTTTACTACCTGGGGGTATCATTCCCCTCAATAATCGAGCTAAGACTAGATAGACAAAACGCGGAATTTTCCCCGTCAAGGAAGTGAAACTTTCACCAACTTTAGTGTAGGGAGACCTATTTTCTCGTTTTTTTTTCCGCTAACCGAGCTTCTCATAAATTTTCCTATGCAACAGTGTGATCTAATCCCATAAACGTCATAGCACCAACCGCCCCTGAAACAAGCAGTTTACAGTGCGAACGAAAAGTCAAAAAGATTAGTCAGCACTAATTTACCTTTAACTTGCCCCACATCAAGTTGAGCCATTTTCTGAAACCGACTTTTTCTGCGTGCAAAAGATTTTGGCTGAATGTATTGTCTGCCTGGGGTACTTTTGACTCCTGCAAAACGAAATCATAAATTCGCTTAGATCCGCCGCCCGCGCGTGGCACCTGTGGCGCGGGACTAAAGACGTTGTGTTGACGAGCGGGTGCCGGTTTACATGGTTCAGAAGGTCCAAACTACCTTTAGGGTACAAGGTTCTCAGCCCAAATACTCCAGAGCGCAGAAAAGAAGTCGTCAAAAAATGGCCTGTTTCTGGAAGATGGGGCAGTAAGGGTTAATAGTGCGATACTAGTCTGAATATGTAATGGAAGAGGCGTTGAAAGAAAAAAAAAACAAAAGAAACAGTTTTCAAGCCGGTTCGTTTCCAGATTGAGACCGTTTCAAGTCAAACGGCGTTCCGCTAAGTTTAACTATACTTCTGACGAATATTTTATGGCCCCAACGTGCCCTTGAAAATGAGCACGCTGAAAAAAACTTTCAGTTCTCTCTTATGACATAGTCCCCTTCATCAATGCAAACGAACACCTTCGGAGACGTGGTATATCCAGCAAGGCTGTTTTTCTTGAGTAAAAGCGCATCTTGTGAGTTCGTAGTCGCATTGCCTTTCATTTTACGCTCAGGCACTTCTCGGAGTCAGTTGCTGTCTATGAATAACCTTTTTTTGTAAAGGTATGAGGCTTATGTGATTTCGCACTCGGTTCTAGAAATGGTCCGGGTGCCTATATAGTAAAAAAAAAAAGAGCGAGTGAAACGATTTGACATCCACGCTCAAAAAGAAATTTCGGAACTCACCGTATGGCATCGCTGCCAATAACATGGGAAGATACGGCTCCTGTATGTGTTCATTTTAACGATGAGCCACCTCAACTGCTGGCATATCAGTTTCCCGTTTCGCTTGATGTTGTACCTCTCAAATGAAGAGATAAGAGCGTCAGCGCCTTTCGGACGTTTGTGGGCTGTCTTAGCCTTCTGAGTCCTTATGTTGCATGAGGGCCTTACTCAAAAGGGGTGCTACGCGCTACTGTGGGGTTACTCTCACGGGAGCGCAATTTGTTCATGCTGAGGCGTATATAATCCTGCACGTGTTGGGGATGCCTTCGTCTCTAAGGACCATTCGGGCGCCATTCTTCAATGATCACACGATTTTCAGAGTGAATCAAAACGTGAATGTCTCGTGGTTGCTTAATCCCCGTACGCGAATGTTATACACCTTTTGTGCGAGAATGTTTGTGTCGTTTGCTACACTACTCTATATTGCCCTGAAGTAAAAATCGTTTGGTCATCACCAACAAAAACAATAAAATTGAAAATTGCAGTTAGAAAATGTTTTGAATATTTTTGTCAGTTCAGAAAATGTTGAGTATTTTTGTTACAGACTTTTGGAAGACAGTGCCGTCCAGACAGTGCTACAGCAAAGCTCGGATTTTGGTCTCGAAGAAAGTTCCTTGTAGTGAGTTTTATGTTTAGTGTTACATCGGAATTTTTAGATCAGCGCTGTTGGTCAGCTTACCTCACTGAATGCCTGAAATCACAAATCTTCAGTTTCCTCCGAGAGTTACCGAGAATACGGGAAAGGGACTACATACCCTCCTATGAAGATATTTTGAAAAGCCGAGTTTCAACGTCGGGCGTTGTGCAATTCACCTTCCTTATTAAAAATACGACATTCAAGTGAGTTAACAATATTCAATAATGATATCTCTTCGAGGAATGCATCACTTTCAAAATGCTGGAAATATTACATCTGTCTACAGGGAGATCGATCATTGCCATCGTGAAAACATTCGCCCAAGGATGTTTCAGCTCTCCAAATTTTCAAGCTGTCAGACTGTTTGACCCCAAACGAAATGCTAACTAAGGCAACCCTAATGCGTTGATCGGCCATTTGACGAGATGTAAATAGAATTAGCGTCCTTGGCCCGCTAAACGTCCAAATCTGCCCCGGCTCAGGGAATACTTCACTGAAGAGGCGTTACTGACTTTCAATTCTGTTGCTCTGTTCACACAAGTTCGGCAACGATAATAACTGACGTTAAATGGTCTATGGACGTAGTGGAATTAAGCGCACTTCAGAAGTACTTCTGCTTTTGATGTAAACAACACTTCATATGACCCTCAAAACACTTCAATTTAGCTCTTTTACTAGTTTTTGGCATTATTTAACACAGGAGCGTGAGATCGCCATTTCTGGTTTCCTTTTGAAGTTTTTTTTACCATAGTGCACTTACACACTACGCCACAGGCCGCTTGAATAAGTCCGTTATCGTTCCGAACTTGTGCGGACACAGCAGAAAATGAAAGCGTCCTAACTCTCTATCAGAGAGATCGTTCCACATCACAGGGATGATTTGACATTCACTGCGGTCTTCAATACACGCAAGTCTTATTACACATTAACATGAAATGGCTGAACGACCCTGTTTGGGGTTCCTTGTAAGGCACAAGGAAAGCGGCGTCCATGTTATTTGTGCGTGGGCACAGCTGTATATGTGAGTACCTTTGAGCCAGAATCCATCGCGGGGGAGAGGTAAGGAGGGGGGAGCAGACGGGCACGCCATCTTTGTGATCATCACAACAGGAGGTGCCGTATTTGGCGCGATCGGGGGGGGTCGTAAACGCATGGCCCATGTTGAAGTGGAGAGAGCGGTGATACACGGTACAAGTAAAAAGAAGCTCAAAAGGGACGATGTAGATGACAATAAATAGAACTAGGCACTATCGAACTATTCCTAGGCCAAAACTAAAAAAAAATATTGCTGAAACTTTTTCCTCCTTCCTCACAAAAAACTTCAAGACACTTCGCCCACCAACCCTCCTCATCTGGTCTAGATAAATCCCAATCCACTAATCCGCAAAAATCTAGATAAGGAATAATTGACAAAAAGCTCCTATGAAACCCATAGATTTAGAGCTGAATCCTGAGCAATTTCCTCACAACAAAATCAAATTCAACAAAACAAAATTAAACTCAACAAAAACACACAATCAAAGTAATTCACAATAAAATGGATAAGAAAAAACTCACCGCTCAGCTGGGAACCGGAACTATGGATTACTTTTGAATTTTGGCTGTTCGCGGTCAGCGCGCTCATACAAGCGCATTGGTGCGCGCTATTTTACGGTTTGGAGCCAATTTCAAGCCAAACACGTGAAAAGTACCCCTCATTTGAACACCCATAACTTCGTTGAAAGTGAAGCTATCGGAGAGAGGTAAGTGGGAATGAGTAGAGCTAGGTTGGCTCTACAGCACCTGATTTTGAGCGATTTCGACCGAACGTTATCCGGTTTCCAGAGATTTTCCCGTTGTGATCATCTTTGTGATCCATCTGTGATCATTTTTGCGAACCGCGAGTCGCTACGCTTTGGACGTCCATGGCAAGCTTCATACACGACCTTTCGTAAAAAAAAGAACTGTGCCGGAAGCTTGAAGATTTCTACTTTCCAGCAAGGTTTTAATTTCCTTCCTAGACCTACTATTCGAAAAAATTCCCCGTTGTGATCATTTTGTAATCACCCCCCACGACACCGAAAAATCAACCCCTCCGAGGCCAGGAAACCTCCAGTTGGCTCGAAGACTTTGGTATGCTTCTGAAACACATGTTTTCGTCAAGCATATCAGGTAATAGGCCATTGGGCGCCAATTGGCATCACATATGCAATGCGCATGCAGGGTTTCCACGCAGGGGTTTTGAAAGGTGTAACTTCTAGATAGGGCTTCCCAATTGCAAGCAAATGTGCTCCTACGATCAGAAAAGTCCGGGAATGTACTTTCATCTGTTTATTAATCGTCACGTCGTGAGTCCTCTTGTTTGTTTATAAATCATGGGCCCTTCGTTTGATAATTCATGGGGCGACGCATAGTAGTCTATCATCGCCCCTTCCCTGAGTACGTATTGTCGAGTGTCTACACCAGCGCCAGAGTGCTGGACGTGCTTGGGACGTACGTAGGTACTGCGACCCCCCCCCGCTCGACAGCAAAATTTTGTAAAAACCAGAAACTTTTTGGGAAAAAATAGACAAAGTGGTAGGAGGTTGGAAAAATCTAGGGAAGAGGTAACGTGGGGAGGGGGGTCGTACTTGAAGATGGAATTAGGGGGGGTCGTATTTTTCAGGAAATGATCACAACGCAATGGCGTGCCCTGGGAGCAGCAGTGTTATTGTTGAGTGTTGTATATGAGGCTCGATTTTGCACTGAGATAGAAGAGAAGTTTTTTTTACCGAATAATAGATCTTCGTCCTCTACGATTTTTTTTGATTTGCGCACTATGAGTGATGATGTCGTTGCAATCAGTCGGTGTGTCAAGAGCATGGGGTGAGTCCCAATCGCTGCGTTTTCTGCTAATAGCGACTGAGTCGGAAAGACAACAACCAATGGCAGAAAACGCCACGGTTGAGCTCATTCCATGCCCCTGTGATTTGCAGTGAACATAGCACATATCCAAATGGTGCCAAAATTAACGACGAGGGACACGGGGGTGCATGTTTGCTTCACTAGTTCTGTTCAAGTCTCACTGTTGGTGAAACTGTGCGACCCTTGTGAGCTGTGAGCAAATTACGTCGCAGCACCACTTCTGTCAACTCTTTTAAGCACATGGAATAGCTCTCTAGATGGCTCGTCAGGTCGATAGGGAATGGTAAAAGAGCTGAATGCCCCGCACCCTACTGTTGCCGCACAGCGCCTATCCTCCGCTCCTCCCCCCACGGGCGCCGCCGCAAAAGTACCATACACTTCTATTTTTAGTCGGAATGAAAAGATTTGGGAAAATCGGGAAAAGGAAACAGTGGTCGGAGGTTGGGAAATTTCAAGAAGGCTGGTATGTAGGATGGAAGAAATTGTACTGCATCGCCATGTCACACATCACGACGCTCTACGATGCGTGTGGCAGCATACGTTCGTAACTAAACCAACATAGGCGATGTTTATGAGAAAAATTCCCGTTTTCAATGCCTCATTTCAGCTCAACAGAGAGCCTTTCTGGATTCACTTGGTATGTTCTCCATGGCTCATCACTGATGTTGACAATGAGGCTCACAATTGAGCTGAAAGGGGGGTCCTAAAAGTAAAATGGAGAAACTCAACACAGAATAAAGATGCAGCCAAAGGAAGACTGGAATGGAGAGTTCTCTCCTCTCCCGCTCCTAGGTTCTCATTCCCGATAATTCTCAAAGGTACGGTCGCGATCAGGTATAGAAGTTGAATATAGCGTCGGGAATGTAGTGTGGTCCGCGACGAACAACCTTGTACCGGTTTCGCGGCAAAAAATTGTAAGGGAGGGGCGCTATAGCGCAATATAGGTTCAGTGACGCCTCCTTTTCTCCAGTGACTCCGCCTCCAGACTCCGCCTTCAAGGCCCGCCTTTCAGTGGAAAACGAAGCTGCAGGACGAAAAAGCATGAAAATCGTTACTTGCACGGTCGTAGTGTTCTTATCGGGGAATCAGCTGTGCGGAAGAGGGCAATTGAAAATGGAATTAATTCGGCACGTGCAAACTGAGACTGGAATGGGGTTCTATTTAGGGCAGTTGGCATGTTTTTCTGCTTTTTTCTTCACTATCGAGTTACTCAGAACCTTGTCGTCCACATGCAAACCCTAATCCACCATATGTGATGGCAACGGGACTTTGTCTTCAAGAAGATTGACACAGATTTTCCATCAAGCTCTGAAGGATAGACTTATTCAACCAGAAGCTCAACTGTGTCAAAGAGATTACCGTCAGAGACGACTTGTCGACAGGGCACGCCATCGCGTTGTGATGAATTTCTGCTAAATTCGACCCACCCCCCCCCCCCCAAAAAAAAGGTCTCGGTACGACCCCCGCCCCCTCGTCCAATTGCTTACGTAGCTGTCTATCTGATAAGAAAATACAGCTTACTCGCTTTTTCAAATGAACTTAGAATCCCCACTCCCACTCATCTCCGTTGTGGAGCGTTTGTAATATAATGAGTATCGTTCGCCATTATCCAAAACCAGTAATGGTCTAAAGTCCAAACGCATAAAAGACCTTACTGTCTCGCAGCTCAAAAGATCATCGAAAGAAATTCATGTCTTTCACTCTTTCCGATAAGTAACCATAGTCTATTGCTCAGTTCCACTCTCGCTTTGGTAACATATTACATGAATGTAATTTAAAGGGTTTTCGATGTCGGTGGGCAGAAGGCGCAGCGCCGAAAATGGATCCATGTATTCGACGACGTTCATGCCGTGCTATTTATCACTTCCCTGTCGGAATATAATCAGACTCTAGCTGAGGACCACACAGTTGTAAGTTGCTATGTTTTGAAGGCGTATGACGTTGTTGGAACGACTGCTGTAGAAGCAGCCTCTGGCTCTGCCATGATCATGCTTTGGTCGTTTCACAAGATGGGAGCTCTCCACTGCTTTTGAGAACTAGTGTGATCAATATTGAAATTCAATACTTAGCAACATAAAATCCAATATAAGGTCATTCGTATTCGGTGCATTGCAGGGACAACTGATGAACAAATCAGTTCTCTTGCTCCGAGCTAGGTGTGGAAGTACATAACCGGTCCTGAAATTATGAGAGATTCGGTGGACCTTAGTGAAAACAGATGTGCTGTTGATTTCTGGAGAAAGAGTGCGACAGATGTGCCACTTTCCGTTGCCTCATTATGTCAGAAGCCTGTCTTTGGTTTCCACTTGCTCCACTTCATATGGTTTCACAAAACGGCTCCGTTCGGTTCAGGGAGGGCTTTCCAGTTCCGCTCATTTCTTTTCCTAGTTCCTGCCAACATGCCCATTCACCTTGATGACACCTGAAGACTCTTGTCAAGCGGAAACGATGCTCATGCTGTTGCATACAGGGAATAGCATTCGCAGTGGAAAACAATGGAGGGGTCATGACCTAGCCGCTGGGGGAGGGAGGGGGTCGTAAAAATGTTTTCGCGCTGAGAAGTTTTCACTCTTGCCCTGTCGCGCCATATACACCCGCTCTCTATCCGTTACTTGGTGACGCCACAAAATTACTGTGAAACCGCTGTTTCTTGTAGGACATTATGGTAACATCCGAGACCGTGCCAAGTATGGGAAGGATGGGTCCGCAACTGCTTTTTTCGGTTAAAAGCCCACGGAACTGGGCTGGAGAG